GATATAATTTTTGAAAATAAATAATAAATATAGCTATTCAATCACATATATTATGTCCTATAAAGTTGAATTTACAATAGAAGCTAGTTGACATCTTCTCTGTCCAATTTCCATCTGCCATGCGGCTTTTGCCCTTCCTTCCGTATTTTACTGCCATCCTCCGTTCTAACCGCACACGACCAGTATAAAAAACCACACCCTGGTCGTTTTATTTCTGTGTTTCCGTCTCCATTCCGCTGCATCATATCCAAACAGAAGGATCTCTTTCGCTCTCGAACCAACTGTAAGCTGAATAGCAACGAATTCTGAAGGATAAGAGATTGATAGCAGGAAGTTGAAAGAGAGAAGATAAAGATGAGCTTGAACTTCATGCCTAGTCAGCGACTGGGCGGAAAGCACTCTGCATGCATCTGAAGAAATCAGAGGATCAGATCGGCGAGGAAAGCTTTGGGTTCTCCGCCGATTTCAATCCTCCTCCTCTCCTGCAGATTCATATCTCAAAACCTAGCTCTGATTATGGCTTCCCCTTTCAATCCTCGCATATCTCCTGTGTCCAGGGCCTCCCTCCAGCCTCCACGCCGCACAAGCGTCCTGTCATGAACCATGCAGTCGCCGCCGCGGCCAGAGTCGTTGCTCACTGCCGCCCCATATCATCCGTCCGTTTACCGATCTCATCTCCTCGCTGCGTCTTATTCCGCATCCGATTATGCTCTGCGACCCGTTCCGCCCTCCGTCACCTTCTTCGCCGTCTTCGCTTCCGTTTACGCCTTGTTTTTCTTCTCTCATTTCCCTCTTTCTACTTCCTCCTTGTCACCTTCTCCTTTTCATCACCCTCTCATTCCTCCTCTTCTTCAGGGCGTTCTTTCCTTCTAGACTTCTTCTCTGCCGTCGCCTTCTCTTCTGCGATCCTCTTTCTCCTTTTTCTCTCTCTCAATCTCTTCTCGCTTTCCTCCCTCCGCCTTCTACTCTCCCGCTCTTACTCCCTGCTCCCTCGTTACCACCGTATTTCCCCCCGTCCGGTGCAATGGTTCATTGGGTCCTCAATGGAAAAACCCCAATCGAACTTAAGTACTGCTTCTGGGTTATCCGTCCAGATCTACAGTAACGGCGATGTCTTTGAGGGGGAGTTTCACAAGGGGAAATGCTCTGGTAGCGGGGTTTACTATTACTCCATGAGTGGGCGCTATGAGGGGGATTGGGTGGATAACAAGTATGATGGTTATGGAATTGAAACCTGGGCGAGGGGGAGCCGTTACAGGGGACAATATAGGCAGGGTTTACGACATGGGTTTGGTGTGTATCAGTTTTACACTAGAGATGTGTATACTGGGGAATGGTCGAATGGACAGAGCCATGGATTTGGATTGTATGCTTGTGGAGATGGGACCAGATATGTTGGAGGTTTCAAGTGTGGCGTTAAGCATGGCCTTGGGCACTATCATTTCAGGTAAATTATTTCGGATTTTGTTTTGATTTATTTTACATTTTGTGATGCCTACCAATAGGTGGAATTGTGGTCGTTTTTTTTCAAGGAATTGTATGTTGGTTGGTGCTATTTAATCCTGCATAAGTTCTAGAGAATGATAACGTGCTCGTTGAACTGTCTTGGCTTTCTATTGTTTTGCTGATTTCTTGGAAGAGCGCTTTCTAGCATTCTGGGATTTATTTCTTTGTTATTGTGGTTGTTTAATGACATGGGGCATTGATAATGGTATACGGTGCTTTATTTGTTTTCTATTGATTTTCAGAATTGACATAGCCGTGTTGTGCCTGTACTTCATTGCTAATTTATTTTGCTTGTTGTGTGCAAAACACAATTACAGGGAACAATTGGAAATCTAATTATTACTCTCTCTTCGAATGTCTTACTATTTTAGATGGGCGTGTGTATGTCAAAACAAAAGGAAGGGGAGGAGGGGTGATGGTGGTGGGCTTGTGGTTGGCTTTGTTAATGAATATGATATATAATTAGGAATGACTAGGTCATATTTAATCTTGCTTCCATGTGATGATTTTTGTGGGAGTGGGGCAATGGGCCAGTTTAAATTCAAGGAGAGAGATATAGGAAAAGAAAGTTAGGCTTAAAAGAATACAAAAATGACATTTGAAAGTTGCGTTGAATGGTTAGCATGTAGAAGTAATAGTATTGATGACCATGTACTATGGATTGCTGATGCCATGAGATGATAAATTTAGGGGTGGGAAAATGAATTTATTTAAAGTTCAATGAGAAAGGAGGATGGAAAGGGAGCTACGGTTAGCAAAATACACAACTAAGTGTGTTAGAGTTGAATACTCGAAGTATTGTAGAAGTAATGAATTTTGAAAGATATAGAAGGGCTGGACTCTTAAACCTCCATGTGGTGGCCATAAACTCATCTTGCTCAGTAATCAAAGTCTAATTACAACTAATAGAAAAAATGCTATATTTTTAATATTTTTTGGATGAATGATTACACTAAAAAGTTATAAATATCCTTCGCATTTCAATTAATTATTTCAATAAAAAGAAATAAGCAAATAGTATTTAATTTTTTTAAACTTAATCACACATTTTGGCAAGACAATAGAATATTAGTAATAGTCAATCTATAGAAAACCTTTAACCTGCTTAGTAGGTTACATAATTCTCTTGGATTAAAGAACCTCCTTTGGATAGTAAAGGTGTTGATTTGTCTCTAGGAGATAACTATATGTCTTGTAATTATTGTAATGCTCGATCACTTAGGGTTTAGATTTTTTAATGTAAGTAGAAGGATGCAATATGAATAAATAACAACTTATTAAATAAGACAAGAATAATTTTTATTTTCAATTCAAATTCTATAAACAGGAGTTAGGACCAAAAATGTTAATGTATTGATCACATATATGTTTAAAATCAATCAAATCTGAACAAAAATATAACATTTTATCATTCTTTGTTAATGGATATTTTATGTAATGAGGAATGACTATGTTATATGAAACCTCGGTGTCATGTGATGATTTAGGTAGGAGTGGGGCAATGGACCTGTTTAAAATTCAATGAGAGAGATGGAGGAAAAGAAAGTTAGGCTTAGAAAAATACAAAACTGAATTTTGAAAGTTATGTTGAATTGCTAGAATGTTGAAGTAATAAGCTTGATGACCATATACTATGGACTATTGATGCCATGCGATGATCAAGTTAGGGGTGGGAAAACGAATTTATTTAAAATTCAATGAGAAAGGAGGATGAAAAGGGAGCTACAGTTAGCAAAATACAGAGCTAAATCTTCAAGGGTGTTAATGTTGAATACTCGAAGCATTGTAGAAATAATGAATCTTGAAAGATTTAAAAGGAATGGACTTTTAAACCTCCTTGGGGTGGCCGTAAACTCATCTTGTTCAATAATCAAAGTCTAATTTCAACTAACTTGAAAGTGTTATATTTTTAATATTTTTTTGATGGATGACTTCACACTAAAAAGTTATAAAATATCTTTAACATATAAATTTATTATTTAAATAGAAAGAAAAAAAAATATTTTTTAAAACTTAATCATCACATTTAGGTATGATGATTGAAACTTAATAATAGTTCATCCATGGAAATCCTTTAACCTGCTGAGTAGGTTACATTAGATTTCCTGGGTTAAAGAACCTCCTTTGGAGATTAAAGATGCTCATTTGTCTCTGGGAGATTGTTGCTTGTAATTACTGTAATGCTTAATCACTTAGGGTTTAGATTTCTTAATGTAATTTGAAGGATGCAATATGAATAAATAACAACTTATTAAATAAGAGGAGTAATTTTTATTTTTAATGCAAATTCTTAAAACAGGAGTTAGGGCCAAAATGATAATGTGTTGATCACATAAATGTTAAAATTCAATCAAATTTAACAAAAATATAACATTTTATCATGTTTTGCTAATGGATATGATATGTAATGAGTAACGACTAAGTTATATGGAATATTGGTGCCATGTGACGATTTAGGTAGGAGTGGGGCATTTGACTTGTTTAAAATTCAATGAGAGATGGAGGAAAAGAAAATTAGGCTTAGAAAAATAAAAAAAAATTAATATTTGAAAGTTGTGTTGAATCGTTAGCATGTAGAAGTAATAATCTTGATTACCATGTACTATGGACTACTGATGCCATAAGATGATTAATTTACGGGTGGGAAAATGAATTCATTTAAAATTCAATGAGAAAGGAGGATAAAAAGGGAGCTACGATTAGCAAAATACACAACTAATCTTCGAGGGTGTTAGTGTTGAATACTTGAAGCATTTAAGAAGTAAGAAACTTGAAAGATATTAAAGGGCTAGACTCTTAAATCTCCATGGGGTGGTCGTAAACTCATCTTATTCAATAATCTAAGTCTAATTACAACTACTTTAAAAATATTATATTTTTAATATTTCTTGAATGGATGAATTTACACTAAGAAGTTATAAAATATCCTTGACATATAAATTAATTATTTAAATAAAAATAAAATAAGAAAATAATATTTAATTTTTTTAAGCTTAATTAACACATTTAGGTAAATAGAAATTTAATAATAGTTGTTCTACAGAGGTATTTAACCTACATAGTAGGTTACATTAATTCACTTGGGCTAAAGAACCTCCTTTGAAGAGTAAAGATTCTGATTCGTCTCTATGAGTGTGGAGGATGCGTTGTTGCTACATCACAAGCGCATGAGACAATATGCTCTTTGTTTAGTCTAATGAGTTGTTTGTATCCGTCTTTTTATGAAAAAACAAATAAACAAAAACTTGTGTGTGTTGCTTGTGAGTTTGGTAAGCACACCAGGAGCTCTTATGTTAGTTCTGGTAATAGCAGTTCTTATGTTTTTGATTTGGTGCACTCAGATGTATGGGAATTTTGTTCTACAACTTAAATGAACGACTACAAATATTTTGTTACTTTCATTGATTGTTTTTCTCGTGTTACTTGGTTATATCTGATGAGAAACAAAAATGATGTGTTTGCCTTCTTTAAAGTCTTTTACAGGGCGATTCAGACTCAAAACTGTGCAGTAGTAAAGGTATTCAGATATGATAATTGGACAAAGTATACCATCAAGACGTTGGGGAGTACTTGGCAGCCTGGAGATACAACATCAATCCACTTGTCCATACACATTGTCACAAAACGAAGTAACAGAGGAAGAATATACATCTTTTAAAGGTAGCTATAAACATGTTGATCTTAATGAATGTTCCAAAACACTTGTGGGGGCAAACAATTTGATAACAACTCAATTGATTAGCAGAATGCCCTCAAGACTATTGGAGTGACGATCTCCTTGTGAATTGTTGAAAAGAGATAATTGCGGGAATCTTTCATTGAAGGTATTTGGTTGTGTATGTTTTGTGAATGATCATAGACCATTAATAGGGAAGCTAGATCCTAGAGCTATGAAATATATTTTCGTGGCTTATTTTGTCACTCATAAGTGGTATGCTTGTTGGAGCACAATAGAGAAGAGATTGTGAGTTGGGATGTGACCTTTAGAGAATTCTAACCATATTACAGTTGTGAGTTTGGATGTGACCTTTAGAGAATTCTAACCATATTACAGATTGGAGGTGAGCTCACCCTTTGGTGACTCGTCAGAAGTTGGAGGTATGAGGTGAGAGGGGAAGAGTAGTGATGGTTAGAGATAGGTGCAGGTGGGAATGATACCTTATCCCGTTGTATGGGAAGGATCAACGAAGAAAGAGTCAGAGAATGAGGAAAATAAGCCTGAAGGTGGTGAGACTCAAACTCAAGGGGAGCTGAGGGTGTTTACAAGGAGGAAAAGACAGAATGAGGGAACAACGTCTGCCATGCCGCTCATGCCAACTAGTTCCTTGTCCCAGTATAGCTCAACTCTTTTAACACTTACACCATCCACCTCAGAGTTTGATTACACAGGTAATATGATTCCTCTCTCTTTTTCTCCCATTTCCATGATTTTAGGAATGACCTTTTGCAGCAATGTGGGCTATTCTCCTGATCGTTTTTCTTCTGATCGTTTTGTTTTCTCATATGACATTGTTCAGTTTGTCTCATATTCTAATATATCACATTTACACGGAGCATTCATTGGATCTTTAGATACTGTCTCTATACCCAAGTGTTGGCAAGTAGTTAAGGATGATTCAAAGTGGAAGTGTGCAATGTTGGAGGAACTTGGTGCTCTTGCTAAGAATTGGACATGGGAGCTTGTGTTGCTACCAGAAGGGAAAAAGGTAGTCGGGTGCAAATGGGTCTTCACAGTGAAGCAGACCTCAGAAGGAAAGATTGATCACTACAAAGCAAGGTTGGTGGTGAACGGGTATGGTCAAACGTATGAAATTGACTATGATGAGACATTTGCACCAGTAGCAAATATAAGATAGTCAAAACACTCTTTTCTCTGGTTGTGAATGGTGGATGGAGGTTAAACCAACTGGATGTGAAGAATATGTTCTTCATGGGGATCTG